CCGGAATTTGGCGCCTTCGCGCTCGCACCTTCTTAATGTTAGGCAACAACAGCTCTATTTTCCTTTAGTTTAATTAAGGTTAAGGTTCAGGTTCAGTTTCAGATTCAGTTTGAAGGCGAAGTTGTCATTTACATTTAATAATAGCTGTTGGTTTTACAATCGTAGATCATTGTAGTTTTGTATTGTTTTGTTTGCCTTTATTTATTTTTTTCTTTTCTTTTTTAGGTGTATATTTATAAATATTTTGTTTCGAGTTTTGGTGGAGTGTTTGTTGTTATATTTCTTTGTTACTTATTTACAATTAACTGTTACTGTTGCTTCAAGCTCTGCATTTAAGAAAAAAAAACAGATTACACTCAATTCACTTGGTTGAACGTTAATTATTTTAATTGTCGAGATTTTTTTTTATTTATTTGATTCGTTGGTCGCGATTCTTATTTCTTGCGCCGTTAGATTCAACGTTCACAACAGCAGCGAAAATGTTGGAATGGTCTTTAGATTCCGAAGGCCCGCAGTTGGAGCATGTTTTTCCTCCTTGGTGCTGCCTCCTTTTCACTACGTGGGCGCCGCACCCCCAAACGACAGGCAATAAAAGTTTCGAGATAACATAATATGCATGAGCGGGAGTTTTCGGCTACCCACCACAGACAGAGAGCGAGAACGAGCGTGCGCGAGAGCGCGTCTATGGTGTGTGCTTGTATGCGTGTGTGTGGTGAGTTTCTTATGAGCAGCAATACCCGTTATTTGAGCGAATATTTTCCATCACATTCATCGCACATATAGAAAGCAGTAGACATCATATAATAATAAAAGTGGCAAAAATATGATATCAACAGCGTGTCAAGAGAGAGCAAGCACGAACGATAGCGAGTGCAAGCGAGTGGAAAAATGACATCGACCAAGAGAGAGAGAGAGAGAGCGGCGGAGTTAAGCTTCCGATTGAAATTGCATTGAAAGTTTTAGATTCAGGAATTGAATGAAAATGCATTTGCCTTTCATGTGAGTTGCTCTAGCAGATGCCCCGATAAGTATGCACCATTGCAATGTGGAATGTACAGCGCGGACGACAGTCATAATCCACAGCAGCAATAATGATGATGATGACGGCACAGTGGCAGTAACGTCTGTTTGGTTGTATATATGCACATATATATTTATATATATATACATATCTATATATATATATATATTTGTGTGTGTGTGAATGCTTCAACGAAACCCACGCACAACACACACAAAGCTCCATTCACTCAAGGACAATCGCCAAGCTTGACCATTAACTCATACAAGTTCTAATAATAGACGGCACACTTGAAATTTCCAGCTTTATAACAATATGAAAACGACCAGCCAGAGCCACAGTCTTTATAAATATATCAAATCTATTAGACATATACTAACATGCACACACATATAGGTATGTACATAAGTATAATTATATGAGCCAAGCATGGCACAATGGCCTGTCGCCACCGCCGACGTGGGAGGTTCATGTTCATGTCCTGGTCACCAAGTAGCATGCGCAGTCGGCAATTCACCACACGAAAGCCGAGGCGAAACTGTGTGCGAAAAGTGCCCAAGTTTAAGGATAAATCACTACGAACAGCGCCACAAAAGGGAACAATGAACAGTGGAACACAATGGAATTTTGCAACAAATGTTGCTATAGCTACTGGCATTAGTGAGTGGGGTTAATGCCGCATAAATTTCATGTGTGCGAAATGTTATAGAAATTAACTAAAAGTTTATTATTGACGTTGAGGCAGTTCACACACACATAGGTACACACACATATGAGTGTTTATGGGGCTGTGTGTGTGTGTGTATAGCTACGCATGTACATATATACATGTATGTGTATATGCATGCACATATGTGTAGACCAAGCAGCAACCGTAACACTTTTCACCCACTGGCCGTGCTTGTAGCGCCCATTGCCCATTGCCAGCCGCCTTCCACTCCCACTTCCAATCTCACTCTCTTTTTCTTTCTCGCTCTCTCTCTCTCTCTCTCTCTCTCTCTCTCTGTCGCGAACGTTGCGCGCTTCGCTCTTTTCGAGCCGCATGAACAAATCGCAATAGATAGAGAATTTTTTTCTTTCTGCCACGGCTGCTCCTGTTCTGCGGCTGCCAACATCGTTCATTCCTTGCCACACACCCACACAAGCAGTTAGGCGAACACACATACACACACACACACACACGAATACACACCCACACATCCACACATTAAATGGCAAAGTCCTTGACTGCGTGGCTTTTATTGTACATATTTTAGAATTGTCGAAACTTCGAAACAAAGCAAACTTTTCATAATTGCATTTAGGAAAGTTTCAATTGTATTAGCTGCAGCAAATGTTCAACGAGCACTGATGAACTTTGCACATATGACAACGTAATTTTAACGCAAACACACAGACACAGACACATACGGACACGCACACACACATACACACACAAGCAGACCATCGCGCAGATACAAATTTTATGTACCATATATTTCTGCTGGACAACGCTGACGACGGCAATTTGCAAAATTGAAACTGCTGCTGCTGGTGCTGCCAGTGCGAATTTGCACAATAATTTTCGATTTTCATTTTCATTTTCGTTTACACGTCTCTGCTGCGGGAGCAAAGAATTTTCACTGCTGCTGCGACTGCGACTGCGGTTAACAAATTATTCTTCATTTTACTTGCGCCCTTTTAACAGGCTTTTGGAATTTTTCGCACTTGATTTTCAATTTCGGTTACGTTTACGATTCGCGTTTTATTTGGTTTATTGTTTGCACTGCGATTGTTTGGCTTTTTATTGAATGGAAAATTTTCACAATTTGAATGTGCAAGTTTTCAAGTTTTTCTTCTTTTCTTGTACATTTTTTCCCACTTTGTTGTGTGGTATGTGAAAATGAAAATTCTTCTCTGTGTGTGGCAGTGCCCCCGTAACGTACAAAGAGCACACACCTAGTGGGTTGTGTGTGCTTGTGCTTCGCTGAAGACGATGGTGCGCTCTGACTGGGGCCGAAAATTGTTCAACGCTCGCCAGCTCCGCTACTCGGCTGCTGCCCGCAAATTCGGCGTGTTGAAATTTTTGGCGGCCGCAGCGGAAAGTCCCACCAACAACACTGGGAAAATAGCGGGAGCGCGTTGCCCAATTCGCTCAAATTTCTATCAAATGTGCTCGCTCTCCCGCTCACTATCTCTTTGTATTCATTTCATACTCCCTCTCAGTCAGTCAGGCACTCGCTCTTCCCGTGATGTTTTTGTACTTTTTCTTTTTATCTTTTTTGGCAAACGGTGATGAAAATTTGAACCGGTAATCGATAAAATCTATCGACTCGCTCCTTTTAACAATAGAGAGCAACAACAAAGAAGTTTCATCGAATTGAAGTTTATAAGGCTATAATAGCAATTCGGGTTTTGAATTATCGAAATATAATGCATAAAGTAGGTAACATTCGAAAAACCTCCAAACCTTAAAAACTATTTCAATACGTCTGTTAAGATACGAATTGAATTTTAAACTTCGATTAAGTCAGCTGTTTCGTCATATACGATTTAAGTAGAGACTGCAACAGTCTCTAGCGGAGACAAACATCATTTGGACTTGCATTGATTGCTCGATATTGTCAAGTGTGACCATCAACGAAAATAAAAAACCGTTTTCTAAATGGCTATTTTATATTAGCATTTATTTATTAATATTGTGTAACAAATGGTTGTCAGCAGTTTAAGATGATGCATGTAGTTAATTTATTTTGTGCGTAATTATGAAATGTACAAGTTAATAAATATTCATGTAGATAAATATATATATATATATTTATTTATTTAACTTTTATTTATTTTTGAGCACGCAGGTCTTTTATTTGCAAATAAGTTTAATAGCTCCATTTATAGATATAAATATATCCATGCTTGTCTATCGACTATCCCAACCCTTGAGGCTGGTAGAAGGGAGCTATTTTATTCATTTCTTTTTTTGTATATCTGTTAGTTATTTATTTGAATAAGGACAAATTAAATTTGCCAAGCGTTTTTAACTGACTACGGGTACATTTTAATAAATATATATATATATATAAATGTGTAACAGCGGTTTATGTGTAAAAAAAATGTTGTAGCTGTTAACTTGTGTAATCATTTAAAAATTAATATAAGAGAATAGAAGATATATACTTTTTCGGTTATGTGGAATAAAAATAAAACACGCATACATTAAGGCGACTTAAATGGTTAAAGGACTCGCATTTGTTGCTATTTAGCCAAGGCCATGATCGTCAAAGAAACTTTGTGGTGTTTCATCCTGTAAAATGGAAATGTGTTCTTCATTATGTATACTCGGTATTTCACTTTTTGTGAATTTCCAATAAAAAATTCAAATTAAAAGTGTTTAAAAATGCTACAAAAATATTGAATGTTCGTTTTGCAAAAAAAATAAATAAATAAATAAAAAACAACTGTATAACTAAGCTAAGGAACAACAATTTAGAGACAGGTTGAAACTTATCGATAGTTTTTGGGCAAAGCGGGATAGTGTAGAGAATGGTCTTTGGGAGAGAGTGGAAGAATAACGGTTAAAGTCAGCACAGTGAATCGAGCCACTATCAAACAATCAATATATTACTAAAAACATCAATCACGAAAAATGATAACCATAATAATAATAATAATAAAGACTTAAGATTTAAATACAACGTTCACCGTTCAAACCTTACCTCTAAGCATATTAAGTACATAATTTTTACATACAAATACATACATACAATTTTGACGTTTTTTTTTTTTTTTTTTTTGTAAAATATCTCGTCTTTTATTATTGAAATACAAAACACAGGAATTTGGCTAAAATGTACAACACACATATGTATATATAGATAGAGTTAAATATATTTTGTATATAAACTATTGTTTTTTTTAATATATTTATATATATATTATTTATTATTTACTATTTACTACTTAAGATTTTACATTTTATATTTTATTTCAGTTTCTGCATGATTTTTTCGAATTTAAAGCTTACTTTTTCTATATATTGCATTTGTTTTCCCTAGTTTCAACGGTTATTGCCCATTTAGGAGTAGAAAGTAAATAAAACAACACAATATTTCTTTCTTATTGATGGTCTCGGAATGATACTTTTTCAATTAAACGCTTATGAGAAGTTAAGTAAATGTTGCATGAACTTTATTCAAGACTACGTATGAGAGGACGACACCGCGCCATATGCTTGTGTTAGACGCACCGCCGCACCGACTGCTGGATGCGCTACAATAGTTTTTGTGTTTTAGCCTCTCTATGTGAAAATACTAATTGCACTTTTTTGTTTTTGCTTTCGAAATCAAAATTATGTAGAGTTTAACTTTAATGCGCACCCATAAGATTTTTCTTTTGTTTTTATTAACATACACAGTGAATTTGAAAGTGTGTATATGTGTGTGTGTTGTGCACTAATATTGCTGCAGCTAAGTTCTTATGTGTGTATGCGTGTGTAAGTATTCGTGTGTGTGTAGAAGTGTGTGTGTTCTATATAGGCGTGCGTGCTTGTTTGCGTATGTGTTATATCAACTACATTCTAAGTATTTGGCTTTCTTTTAGAGTAGTCCAATGTCTCTTAAAGTGCCCTCAACAGCTTCGTCCTGGAGTACAGAGAATAAGAACAATAAGAACAAGAAGAGTAGATACAATAGATAAAAAGTTGTGTCTGCATATGTATGCGTTTGTGTTATTTTAATTTAGTTTTGCTTCATGTATTGCAATGTTGTTAAAAGAAGAAAACGGCACAGCTCAGTTGTAACAGTGTGTGTGGGTGTGTCTGTGTTTGTGTGTGCGTGTGCGTGAACAGTTATTTGAACATGTACACAGTATGTATGTGAGTATATGTGTGTGTGAAAAAAACGGCACAGCTCAGTTGTAACAGTGTGTGGGTGAGATTATTTGTACACAGTATGTATGTGTACATGTACACAGCATGTAGGCGTATGTATTGAAAGCGCACGGGGCGTGTCGAGCAGGGCGGGACAGTTGACAAGCTACACATTGCAGCGAACAAAATCCTAGATGTTAGTGCAGCCGACCAAAGGTGGAAAAAGCGTAGCAATATTTACAGCCTTGACTTTGTTGATCAAAGGACTTTCGCGTTAATCCTTAACAAAAAAATATGGAATCCTGACCGAATAATTTTCCTCTACATATCAGTAGACCTACCAACTAATAATTATTAGATGTTTGGTATATTTTACTTTTTATGGTTTGTATATATATATTTTTTCTTTTTACAGTGTTTTTTTTTTGTTTTGGTCAACTCTGATTAGTTTAAATACTCATTGAAGTCCTGTAACATCGATATATGCAGTGGCGGGTAGGGTAAGCGTTAATAATAGTAATACAAGAGAGAGGGTATTATGGTTACACATTTAGATATGCAGTTAAATAAGTTGCTTTTTAGGTATATGTAAGTGTAGAACAGTTAGTTAGTTGTAATTGATTAAGTTCCATTGGGTAATGTAATTACAAGACTACAAAGATCATGCAAAACAAATAACTTAATACCTTCTCGATAATGTTTAGTTTTAGGAAACAATACACAAATTTGATTACCACAAATTGTACTACATTTTAATGGCCATATATATGTATACTCTAAATGGACGGAACTACATTGACTGTTTACAATTATGGCAAGCTCGGAATATTTTGATTAAAACGCATTAAATTCATTCTCACAATTAGTTGCGTAGGCTTCTCTTATATTTGATATTGTTTTTTTTTTCTTTTGTTTATCTTGTTGGCAAGTTTTTGTTGTCGAAACATTACAAAATTGAGAAGCGCATGAGACATGCAATGACAAGTTAAGGCAAATAAAAAAAAAAAAACTGCAATATGTGTATCTGTTTACAAATCATTTAAACTTAAGCTTAAGAACAGTTTCACTGAATATAAATATATATAAATTGCATAAATAAATGTCTATTGCAGTGAGTAAAAGAACTCTTCTTGCTGTTTGTTTTGGTGTTCAATATCAATAAATTCAATATATATATATATAGTTAGAGAGTTTCGATTAGTTTCGTTTGCACAAATTAGAGAAAAAGTATAGAAAGTCAAAATAATAATTAAGTAGTAGAATTTGAAACGTATATGTACCGAGTGATATGCATGAAATGACATTATTATAATTGTATGATATAACAAAACATTAACGAGATAAAAATAATAAAAAATTTTTAAGCCAGCAAAATTGATAGAACAATCAAAGGATCTGCGGCATATTTATAAATAGATACACTTATGTACACAAACAATGCTAGGCATTAGAGTTCATATATCTCGGGTGTACTGACCTCTTGTAGCAGATCCTGTGAGGCAATCGCTTTAAGGACATTCTTCTTCGATGTCTCCTGAATTTCACCACCAATCAACAATTCATCCAATATGAAATATGCTTTCTCAAAATTGAATATTATATCCAATTCGCAAACCTGTAACATATGCACATATTTATTGGCACAAGTGGTGTGGGAAATAATTATAAATAGCTTACACTGCCAAAATACTTATCCAATAGCTCGACATAGCGATGGATTATCTCCAAAGTAAGCAACTCGTTGTCGTTCTGCTCGATGGCACAGCAGAAATATAAGCTAGCATAGCTGCAATAGGGTTTTATGTTTAGCATATATGTATATATGTATAAATCTATGTATATACCGTTTGTACACAATTTTGCAGTCTTTCCATTCGAGAAAGGAACACATCTTGGGCTTGCGGGCTAATATTGTTGTGACCAGCTCACGTGTTATCTTCTTTTTGGTCTTGTCTGGATAAGCCATATACCATTTTTGCAATCGCAGCTTGCCTTGACGACTGAATAGCAGCATAAAAAGCATCTGAAACAAAATCATACCCAAAATTTAAATCAGCGGCATATAAATAAAGGCCGAGACTTCATTGCAGGCGGCCATATGCACTTTCTGACACGAAAAGGTGACTCAGGTGTGTTGCGGTGGCCAGCGCAGCAGGTTTGCTTTTGAATCAAACTTTTTACATTTGTTAAAGCCAAAATGGCATTGAATTTGTTTTTCTTACCATTTCAAGCGTTTCAACTAAGGGCTTTTACTATTTTTGCGGTTCAAATACCACAGAAATATTAACAAAACTTTAATTTTTCACTCAGTACATAAAGAAAATTTGCTTCTTCAACAGATTTTGACAGTTACTGCGGCAACACACAATCAGCTGTTTGTGAATGGTAAAAATATTTCCTATCGATTAAAAATAAGTATAAATCGATTAGTCATATGCCGCTATACTTTTGGTTAACATTTTTGGCTTACAATTATATTAAATTACTTTTTTGCCACAATTTACTTAAGTTTTTCTAGCAAAGGATCAAACCAAATGCCTTAGGTTTGCATAAATCTGTTAGTTCTATGGTTATGATAATAAGTATAGGGAATGTCACTGGAACTATGCGTGGTTCATTTTATTGCACGTTCAAATCTAGTTCGATCACTTAGTTGCTCTTTCACCTAAATAAAAGCGAAGTGGTGGCAGCTCGCCGTGCACTTGTATATAAATTGGCCAATTTCATAAGTTCAGATCAGTTTGCAAAACAGATTTCTATATAGGCAGAATGTCTATTAAATTGAAAGCAAACGTTAACAGTCCACCCATTAGTAAGTAGAGTCAATTATTAATTAACGTAATAAACACATTTGTTGTCAATATTGTGAGGTTATGTTTAAATGTGCTGCGGCCTGCATTATCATATACATATGTGTATTTGTATTACATTGGGGAACCAAAAATATATACGGCTATTGCATCAGTTTTGTTCGATGAATTTATTAACAGTTTCTTCCATACATTAAGGTGGTTTGGCTACGGCGCATTTAATCAACGCATCAGTACCAGTGGAAATTGTTTGGAGCAAGGAAACCTCGCTGCAGTTTCCCGACAATCGCATCCTGGTTTGCCATTCAAATAATGATGTGTTGCGGGCGCTGGCACGTGCTGCACCGGATTATAAGCTTTATGGTGAAACTGCCATTGAACGCACACAAATCGATCACTGGCTCTCTTTTTCGCTGACGTGTGAGGATGATATCTCTTGGGCCATGTCCTTCCTGGACAAGTCCATTGCCCCTGTCACGTATCTGGTCGCTAATAAGTTGACCATTGCCGATTTTGCCCTGTTCAATGAAATGCACTCTCGTTACGAATTTCTCTCAGCCAAGGGTATTCCACAGCACGTGCAGCGTTGGTATGATCTAATTAATGCACAGCCGCTAATCCAGAAGGTGCTGCAATCCTTGCCGGAGGAGGCGCGTGTCAAGCGCAGCGTCAAAGAGCCCGTGGCAAAAAGCGGCGAGCGCAAACAGGAAGGCAAATTTGTGGAGCTGCCTGGCGCTGAGATGGGCAAGGTTGTGGTGCGCTTCCCTCCCGAGGCGTCTGGATATTTGCACATTGGACACGCTAAAGCGGCGCTGCTTAACCAGTACTATGCGCTGGCTTTCCAGGGCAAGCTAATCATGCGCTTCGACGACACTAATCCTGCAAAAGAGACTGTAGAATTCGAAAATGTCATACTCGGAGATCTGGAACTACTACAGATCAAGCCGGATGTCTTTACGCACACCTCCAACTATTTTGATCTCATGCTTGATTACTGTGTTCAAATGTTGAAGGAAGGCACGGCCTATGTGGACGACACGCCGCCCGAGCAAATGAAACTGGAACGTGAACAACGCATTGAGTCGCCGAATCGTTCGAACTGTAAGGGTATTTTATTGGTAACATGTTCAACTTTATAATGCAAAACTCTTCTTTAGCTACTGAAAAGAATCTTTCCATGTGGCAGCAGATGGTGCAGGGCACTGAGGCTGGCCAGAAGTGTTGCGTACGTGCCAAGATAGACATGTCCTCGCCCAATGGATGCATGCGTGATCCGACAATATATCGGTGTAAGAACGAACCACATCCGCGCACAGGCACCAAATACAAGTAAGTTAGCTCATACATAAGGGATATTTAAGTCAAGACTTGAAAATTGTTGTGCTAATCATATTAGGGTCTATCCTACCTACGACTTTGCCTGTCCCATTGTGGATGCTATTGAGAATGTGACACACACGCTTCGGACTATGGAGTACCACGATCGTGATGATCAGTTCTATTGGTTTATTGATGCACTCAAACTGCGCAAGCCTTACATTTGGGAGTACAGTCGGCTAAATATGACGAATACGGTGCTTTCGAAACGCAAACTTACTTGGTTTGTGGAATCGGGACTGGTCGATGGCTGGGATGATCCACGTTTTCCCACGGTGCGCGGTGTTATCCGACGCGGCATGACAGTAGAGGGCCTCAGGGAGTTTATCATTGCTCAAGGCAGCAGCAAATCTGTAGTCTTCATGAATTGGGACAAGATCTGGTCATTTAATAAGAAGGTTATTGATCCAATTTCACCCCGTTACACAGCGCTTGATTATGAAAAACGAATCATTGTGAATGTGGCAGGTGCTAAGCTAGAAAAGGTTCAAGTTCCTGTGCATCCCAAAGATGAAAATCTGGGCACAAAAACGGTCACATTGGGTCCACGCATATACATTGATTATGTAGATGCTGAAGCTCTCAAGGAGGGCGAGAATGCCACGTTCATCAACTGGGGCAATATGCTGATCAAGAAAATCCACAGAGATACCAGTGGCTCAATCACCTCCGTGGATGCCGCGCTCAATTTGGACAATAAGGACTTTAAGAAGACGCTGAAACTAACCTGGCTTGCAGTAGAAGACGATGCCGCTGCATATCCACCCACGTTTTGTGTGTACTTTGATAATATTATTAGCAAAGCTGTCCTGGCTAGGGGTGAAGACTTCAAGCAATACATTGGCCACAAGACGCGTGAAGAGGTCCAGATGCTTGGCGATCCGGAGCTCAAGAATTGCAAGAAGGGCGACATCATTCAGCTTCAGCGTCGCGGTTTCTTCAAGGTGGACAACGCCTATGCCCCACCCAGTGCGTACACAAATGCCCCTTCACCCATCATACTATTCTTCATTCCCGATGGACATACAAAAGATATGCCGTCGTCTGGTCTGAAGATTAATGCAGCTCCAACGCCGGTAGCTAAAACAGATGTAAGTACACTTTACACTTTTGTGATCGTTTACCAATTAAGAGCATGAGTGAACCGAAAATGTAGCTAATATAATATATATATATATATATATATATATATATATATATATATATATATATATATATATATATATATATATATATATATATATATATATATATATATATATATATATGTACATATATGTACATATATATGGGGGTCCATTAACAATAACATACAGTTCTATAGAGATCGAAGACAAATTTAAAATATTTGCCTTGGGGAAACCAAAAGAAAAGACAGCCGTCTTACTTGCACACCCTAATCTTTTAGTTCTCAAATCTGTTGTTGCTAACTCCCACCTCTATATGTTGTATGGTAAGTATGAGACATGTAAACAGAATGAACAGAAACTGGTTCATTACTATTTAAATATTTTGAGTAATTTTTGCAATTCAGCTTAATGAAAAAATATTTTGTAATATGAAGAGCTTTTAATTCGCAATTCCGGACTGCATTGTTAGTTTCTCACTGACTTTTTTGTAGCTATTATTTATCATCGTAATCACCGGTTCGTTTATGTTGCTCATCTCTAACGTAAAGTGACAAGGGCAAAACCAGTTCTTTGCAGACAGCGCTTGCGTTCGGTGTGTCTGTTCTTCTGATATATTTTGGTAAACGTGGAGGAAGAAGAAGAAAGCGTAATTGGTGTGTTTCGAAATTAAAACTTTACATTGCTGACACGTATTCAAAAAAGAAAAGAAAAATACTTTCTTTTGTACTATTTGCATATTATTTAACTAATTATTTTATTTACAGGCTACCAACAATAAAACTGCCAACGTTGCAACGGATAAATCGATCGATTTGGATAAACAAATTGTTCAGCAGGGCGATCTGGTACGCGATCTAAAGGCTAAAAAGGCACCAAAAGACCAAATTGACGTTGCAGTCAAACAGCTGCTAGCCCTAAAAGCCGACTACAAGGCATCCAGTGGCAAGGATTGGAAACCTGGCCAGGACACAGCAGCTGCAGCACCGACGAGTGCTGATCCACCTGCTGCTGCTGCCAACAGCGACGTAGCCTCCGTCAATGCGAGCATTGTGAAGCAGGGAGACTTAGTGCGCGACCTGAAAAGCAAGAAGGCAGCTAAGCCTGAGATTGACGCAGCTGTCAAGCAACTACTGGAGCTTAAAGCTCAATATAAAACGCTTGCTGGACAGGATTGGAAGCCAGGAACCGTGACTGCAGCAGCACCAGCAGCAGCTGTAGCTCCCGCTTCTTCAGACATTTCCACAGTGCTGTCTCAAATATCTGCTCAAGGTGAAAAAGTACGTGAACTAAAGGCAGCCAAGGCTGACAAGGCTAGCATCGACGCAGCCGTAAAGACACTGCTTAGCTTAAAAGCGGACTATAAACAGCTAAGCGGCAGCGATTGGAAACCAGGCACTACAGCACCTGCAACCATCAAAGTTAAGCAGGAAAAATCACCAGAACCTGCAGCTGCCAGTACCGTAGCCACATTGCTGAACAAGATCACACAACAGGGCGATAAGATCAGGCAGCTAAAGTCTGCTAAATCGGAAAAATCCCTGGTTGATGACGAAGTTAAACTGCTATTGGCTCTAAAGACGGACTACAAGGGCCTTACTGGACAGGAGTGGAAACCAGGCACCGTAGCGTCTGTAGTTGCCCAAATAGCTACCGTTGATCTGACTGTTGAGGATTCTAGCAGTGGCGAGGATATTCCTAATATCTTGTCCAACATTAAAGATCAGGGCGATAAAATACGTGAACTGAAGTCGGCAAAGGCAGCCAAGGGAACAATCGATCCAGAGGTGCAAAAGTTGCTTGCTCTGAAAGCCGAGTACAAAAAGCTCAGTGGCAAAGATTGGACACCAGACGCTAAGGTTGAGACTAAAGCGGAGATGAGTGTTTCGGAAAAAGATCAGTTGACGTTGGACATCAATGCCCAGGGCGAAAAGGTGCGTGCTGCCAAGAGCAGCAATGCTGCCAAAGAGATTGTTGACGCAGAGGTCAGTAAGCTGCTGGCATTGAAAGCTAAATACAAGGAGGTCACCGGCATAGATTTTCCCGTTGCTGGTCGCAGTGGTAGCAGTGGTGCTGTCAAGAAGGCACCTAAAGAGCCACAGCAAAAGGCGGCTAAGCCGGCGAAGAAAGTACCAGCACCTGCACTTAAACCGGATGCTTCAAGCGGTGTAAAGAAGCAAACTCGATTGGGTCTGGAAGCTACGAAAGAAGATAACCTACCGGACTGGTATTCGCAGGTGATTACCAAAGGTGAACTGATCGAATACTATGATGTTTCCGGCTGCTATATACTGCGTCCGTGGTCCTTTGCGGTTTGGAAGTCCATTAAAACCTGGTTTGATGCGGAAATCACGCGCAAGGGCGTTAAGGAGTGCTACTTCCCAATCTTTGTATCAAAAGCAGTGCTCGAACGTGAGAAGGATCATATTGCGGACTTTGCTCCGGAAGTGGCCTGGGTAACCAAGTCGGGTGATTCGGACTTGGCCGAACCAATTGCGGTGCGTCCTACCTCCGAAACGGCCATGTACCCCGCCTACGCTAAGTGGATTCAATCCTATAGGGATTTGCCTATTCGTCTCAATCAGTGGAATAATGTTGTGGTAAATAGTTTGGAAGACAGAATCGAATACGCAATTCCTAATCACTTTGCTTTCCGTTTGTTGTAATAGCGTTGGGAGTTTAAGCATCCTCAGCCGTTCCTGCGCACTCGTGAGTTCCTCTGGCAGGAGGGTCATACGGCATTTGCCACTAAAGACGAGGCCGATAAGGAAGTGCTAGAAATTTTAGATCTCTACGCGCAAATCTATACTGATCTTCTGGCCATACCCGTGGTGAAGGGACGCAAGACCGAGAAGGAGAAGTTCGCTGGTGGTGACTATACAACTACAGTGGAGGCATTCATTTCGGCTTCGGGCCGTGCCATACAGGGTGCGACTAGTCATCATTTAGGTCAAAACTTTTCGAAAATGTTTGAGATTGTCTTCGAGGATCCGGAAACACAGCAGAAAACATACGTTCATCAGAACTCATGGGGCATCACCACGCGCACTATTGGCGTCATGATTATGGTGCATGCAGATAATCAAGGTTTGGTGCTGCCACCGCATGTGGCATGTGTGCAGGCTATTGTTGTTCCCTGCGGTATTACGGTTAGCACCAAGGATGAGGAGCGTGCCGAGCTTCTGGACGCCTGCAAACAATTGGAACGCCGTCTTATCGGCGCTGGTGTGCGCTGTGAAGGCGACTACCGGGACAATTACTCGCCCGGCTGGAAGTTCAACCACTGGGAGCTCAAAGGTGTGCCAATACGCATTGAGTTGGGTCCCAAGGATATGCAGGCGAAGCAAATTGTCGCCGTGCGTCGTGATACCGGTGAGAAACTAACTATTGCCATGACCGACGTGGAAAAGAAGATTCCTGCCCTCCTGGAAACGATTCACGAAAGCATGCTCGGCAAGGCGCAAATCGATCTAGAGTCGCATACAAAGATCGTCAAGTCTTGGGCCGACTTCTGCAGCCAACTCGAGAAGAAGAACTTGCTCCTTGCTGCCTTTTGCGGCGACATACCCTGCGAGGACAAAATCAAAGCGGACAGCGCACGCGGTGAAGAGAGCGAGGCCGAGCCCGGTGCCCCGTCCATGGGCGCCAAATCTCTGTGCATACCATTCGAACAGCCGTCGCAGATCACCGACAGTGACAAGTGCATCAATCCCAGCTGCAAAAACAAGCCCAAGTTCTACACATTGTTTGGACGCAGCTACTAGAAGATTACAACGTCGAATGCCACTTTTTACTCAATAACACGACCACACTTTACTGCAAAAGTTGTTCAAACCTTAATTTAATTTCGTAAATAATAATTCAGCAAGAAATTGTCTAATTTAATTTATTGGAAAACTTTTGTTTGGTTAAAAAAATCCTATTCAAATAAAAAACTTGTCTAACAGTGTTTCTTTATCGTATAACATCGAAAAATGTCGTCCAAATTACATTAATGTATTTTAGGATCTGTATCGAGGATTTTTTTCCATAAGGAAATAATGCAATTGAAAAACTGGCTCAGAAATGGTTTCCACTCAAAGCTTGGCTTTTGTCCAGCTGATACGTCAGCTGACAGTATCAATTAGAGTTGAGCGCGTGTCGTATTTTCCTTCGTGACACGAACGCTGAGCACGCACAATTTATGTTTGACGCGTTGAGCGTTAATCGAGGCTTATGGAAAAAAAAATGCTAAAAAGGTTATAAAGTAAATGAATAAATATTTTGATAAACGATACAATATGTAATTTTTCAAATTAAAAAAAAAGGTATTTATATATTTATATTTATATATATTTAATTTGAATTATTTATTGTGTTTATTGGATATGAAGATGTGATACATCTGCAATTTGCCGATTTGAGCTGAAAGAATCTGGAATATAATAGGAATGGATATATATTTTTCGGTTAATCTTAAGAAGGAGGAGGTTCCTGAACTGTGGAAGATAATACAAATTAATAGAAATCAACTGTTACATAATTTTCAAAATTCAAAATTTGTAGCTGTTAAATTATGGCTGATATAGTCAGACCCTAGCGCTTATGCAGCCAAAACCAATATACTCTTTTTATTTCTTGAATAAGAATAAAAATAAAGGTAAATAATAGAGCATATATATTTGCTTTACGGACCCGTCTTTCGAACCGAACAAACGTGTTTTTCTCGTGTGTTACTTATTGATATTCAGTTAAACTGATCAGCTGGTATTAAGCTGATTGATAGCTTGCTTAAATTGTAATCATTATTTTTAGACTTCTTCATTTCAGTCTTCAGTTGTGGGATCCAAGAACATAAAAGGTCCTCAGCAAATGATCTATCGTTGCCAGTTTTCCTTTAGCCTTCTACAACTCCCATTTGCAGTTCATCCCAAGTAACTTTAACAAACGCAGTTAATATTATTATGCGCCATCTCAGCTACTATTTTTTAAGCTTTATTCTGATGATTATTGATGGATTTTTTAGACGTAGTGTCGGGTCCGGCTATTGTGGTCAAGAAAACATTTGAATGGTCTCAAAATTTCTTTTTATTCAACCCAATTTCCTTTAGGTACGTCGACTTCTATAATATATACGAATCTATATGAGGTGTTGTAATAGTTGTTCGATCACTATATCACTTGTTAGCTGTAAACTATCCGCTCAGGCATTAGCTCGGCCTTCGATTAAGATAGTTTTGTGTTCACATTTAATGCTTAAGTGCAACATAATTATGTAGTCATCACACTACTGCATCTTTGCTAAAAAGATAATAATTTTAAAAATAAATATAGTGCTTAGTTTTCCGTATTTATCCATGTCCAGACAACTATTTTGTAATACTTAGTCACAGCTGCATTCGATGTTGCCGACTTGTTGCTTTCGAGTTAACTGGTTTCACGCTGAGGCTTAAGCATTTGTTTATATCATTCAATGAGGGTGTGTAATAAACACTCAATGAATTTTTTATAAGTTTATTAATTGTTGAATTCCAATTTCAATTGCAACTATTAATGTTAGTAATTGTCGAAATAATAATAGCAATAATATTATTAATTTGAGTATTAGCTTAGAATTACCAATAATACCTAACAATAAAATTAAATTAAATATTCATAAGTAAAGCTATAAAATTAGTAACTGTTTACAGTATCTTTTTTAAGATCAATCAGTCTCGAATCGTAAATATTTGTAATGAAATTTTATTAAATCGATGGATGAATGATCTCTTTGTAAATATTATGGCGCCAAGAAATCTAGATATATTTAACTTAGTATATAATATATATTTGATGTGTAAATATGTATACATATATATACATATATATATATATATATATATATATATATATATATATATATATATATATATATATATATATATATATATATATATATATATATATATGTATGTCTAGGAGTCTAAATTTAAGCCGATATTTATTTTGTTAAACATCAAAATTCAGAGGCTAAATGGTTTTGTGAAAATGTAAACGAGGCGTGTCAGATCTCATATAGTGTATATATTCGTGATCCTCACGATTAGCTTAGTGTATCTAGCCATGCCCTGTCCGTCCGAGCATGTGAACGCAGCGATCTCGTATAAAAGCTAAAGACTGAAATTTTAATTATGTATATTCTTTTGTATAGCATAAGCACTAAGAGTTTGTCTTTATATTTGATAACCCAGTTACTTATGGATAAAGTTCGAAGTAGGATTCCTGCAAGGATTTTGTATATTTTGGTTTTTCAAATACTAGAAACTACTCACATATAAATGTTATTATTACGTTCTTAAAACTTGATTAAAAAAGACATCTGGAAAAGTTATTCAGCAATTAAATTAAGTCCAGGCGAAGCTGCTGCGTAAACTGCGCAGTAAGCAGAGCGAGGATCTATGCGTGCGTACGCAATGTTCAGGGTATTTGCTAGTCGAGAAGTCCCGACTATTGTTAGTTGTTAAACTGTGCGTGCTTTAATTTAGTATGTTGTTTTATATATAAATAACACAGAAAAAAAATCTACCCTGATCATGCGCATTGTATGAAGTAACACCCTACTATGCGATTCTCATAAGCTTTTGAGAATTCAATTTCATATATGACCTAAATAGACATATGCATATGCATATGTGTATAGTATATATTGTGAATATATATAAATATACTACATACATATATTGTATATATATTCTAAATTAGTCAACGCAGATTTCCTGTATTGCGATTCCTTTTCAATCAGCTGTAACTAGATCTAGAACGACATATTGAATTCTGATAAATAAGTTAAGTAAGCGAACTGTAAACTCGTTTTCCCAAGTAATCCATATTAAATGAACATGGATGTGATTTTAAGCTGCTGCGAATGGAAAACAGTTGAGTTGGCGTTGACTAAAGCCCGCACCTAATTAAAAAGTCGTTAATGTCTGCGTAAGTGGGTAAATGTCAGTAAATACCAGGAAAGCAGTAATGCATTTATAGGCACATATTTGCTTAAGAGTCTTGAGTGTCAACGGCGAACCGTTTGTATTTCTTTCTAAGGCGCACGCCTCTATTTAACCTAATACATCTATATATGAACTATACTTCAGGTTGTCACTTAAACAATTACAAATTACATATTTATGTGAAATACAGGTATTTTCTTAATTAACTAACGGCTTAAACAGCGCAAATTTCAAAATCGTTCTGCATAAGCTCAGCTCAAACGTTTAATCTTTCTGAATTATCTCTTACATCGAGAGTTAATTACAAGTTGGCAGTTGGCTTGAACTCCGCTCAAGCCAGATACTTTTGGCAATTTATTTCACAAATATTAATCGAACTAATTGCTAAGCAAATTAATAAACTTAGTGCTGCATAGTTCAAATTGTCGCATATTTTTACTGTCAGCAAATTAAATTACAAATCTTGTTATGACCAAATTTTTTATAAATATAAAAAAAACAAAATTTATAGCAATACTCTGTAGTTAGCTATATGTTTTGCCGATTCGAATGAAAAACAACTTTTCCGCATCATTTGATTACAAAAATGAAACGAGTAAGTTTAGTCTAGTCGACGTTGCCTGACTCGGAAATACCCTAACCCGACAACTCTTAGTCGTCTGATACTTTTCAAATATGAGTCAAGAATTAACTCTATTAATTGAATTTTTAGAAATGAAATAATGAAATGAAGTGAAATGAATCTGTGATATGGAATTGATACAGAGATAGATTGACGGAGAGACAGCTAGAGCTAGATACACTATGCTGCTGTGCAGCTGCAGGGTATATAGAATTAAGAAAAGCAAACGCCTGCGAAGTCAACAATTTACAGTCGAGTGAGAAGCCAATCTACCAAGTTTACAGAACCACTTAGTATGGCTGTTAGACGCTGCCCCGTCTATCTCTGTCCCCTCAAGAAAAGAGCAAATTATGTCATCGTGATCTAGGGAATGCTCTACTATTATCAGCCAGTGAAAATGAAAACGTAACGGATGCCAACTGAATATTTGCTGCTCAAGGTCGTCATTGTTGATTTCTGGTTTTTTGTCGAGCTGTTGCGAAAGTCAAGAGGCCATCCAGAAAGTGAACAGGTGAGCAGGATAAGAGGAAGCAAGGGGAGCTGGGAGTGGAGCATCATGTTCGAGATCTGCTTTAAAAGACGGACCAACCAACCGACCTGTCGCACAACTTTTTTCTTTATTTTTAATGCAGCTTTTATCGGTTTTTTTTTGCCATGAAGCTGGTTCCAAAATGAATTTTTATCCCAACTGCAGTTTGCATGAATGCATGCGTTATATATATATATGTATGTATAGACACTTATGCTGATCTGTTGCGACTGAATGACGTGCACTTTTAGGGTCGCATCAAGCTCCACTCGAGTCGACTCGACTCGACTCGCTGGCCTTGACTGCAGCTGAGGCCTGTCCTTTTTCTGGGATTTTTTGTTTTTGGTTTTCTCAATTCTGCCAACTCGATAACTGGCTTGACACAATCCGCTGCCCTTGCACTTATGTAGACATTCTCAATTGGCTTTTAATTGTTTTCGCTATAGCAAAATAATAAAGCAAATGCACTGCAATTAAGAGTAAAGCTTGCCGATGCGTGCAGAGCGTGAGCCAAGCGTGAGCCAGGCCTTAAAATGCTTTTGGGACTACCCGGAACGTTGGCGTCCAATCGCAATACAGTGCATTTCAGTAGACAAAACATACAGGTAAGCTAACATACACACACACACACATACACACAGATAGCTGCTGCTGATGCACACGTATGCGCGAACCGCAAATCATGTCTGCCCGTCTGTACCTGTACGTGTGCTTGTGCTTGTGTGTGCGTGAGCGTGTGTGTATGTGTG